ACTCTTACACCATCATTTTCCATCATAACCTTTCATCTCTAATTTTTATAACCATTAAAAGAAGGCTCTATCAATCCAAGAAAGCCTTGGTAGTATTAAAGAGAACTACTCAACTTTAATTTCTCTCTCTTCCTTTTAACATTATTTTAATGTATCTAGAGTTGTTGAGAGGGGAGATGTTGTTATACGGAGGAAGAAAAAAAACAACGCTTAAGGATTATCAAGTCATAGTTACTACCACTAAGAAGAATAGACACCACTAAGAGCATATTAAAAGACAACAAAAGAAAGGAAGGGAAAGAAAGAATAAAGCTAAAAAACTATCCAACTTGGAGTTGCGGGGTAGGGAAAACGTGGACACGACCTAACTAATAAGATGACAGCTCAGCTCGATGTGCCAAATCCGCAACAGATTGAGTTCGGATAGTCCAACCACCTCGGGACGAGTTCACCTCAGTGTAAGGTYGCATTAGAACCACCTCGGTCTCAAGGCACTTCGGCGTTCACTTCAGGTCGGATCTAAAGAGCACTAGCTCAGGTAATACTGGCAGACCACTACATGGCAACCCCGAAGATCTTGCCATCCGATTCTGAGCCCCGCGGGATCATGCCTCATAACGGTAAGCCTTATCTCCTCTCCGCCCGGTTTGAGCGGGATTGATAAGCCCTATCTGTTATCCCCCATTAACGCGGAAACGGATCTCATCGTGACAAGGATCCCGGAACCGCTCCGCGAAACCCACGATGACTCTACTATATAAAGGCTCTACACCCGGAGGCCCATGGTATGCGTGATTTTCCTACTCTCAAGCTCTCTACTTTCAAAAGCAATTTCAGCTAGCTACTAGCTTACTAACTTAAGCATTAGAGCGACCTCACCGGGTTAGCATCCCCGGGTTCTCTGATATCCTTGCAGGTTCAGTCCGTCGTCCGTCTGGAAGCTAGATCACCTCCAACTGGGAGCAGCCAGATCGCGCTCCATCAATTGGCGTTGTTTGTGGGAAGCGCTACTTGAAGCCTCTTTCCACCAAGAATCACAAACCTAGAATCCATGGCATCCTCCCGCAACGCCGGACAAAATAATGAGATGAATGTCTTCGGGGGGCAACCTTAGATCTCGACCGTGTGCATTGGTCAGTTCACCATACTGCTCTCTGCGGTTGGGGTCCCGACGTTGATCGTACCTCAAGCAATTATGCTAGTGAATGCCCCACTCCCTCTTGTAGTGGGTGAAACTTTTGTTGAACCATCTGTGATTCCTCCTGGAGTCGGACAGCATCAGCTTGATGACCTGGTACACTGCGTGCGGGCTATTCAAACACAAATGCAACAGGTCCAACAATTTCAGCACTACCAACAACAGGTTTTACACCATTTATACTAGCAGCAATTCCCACCGTTGCAGCAGAATCAACAGTCGATTCCACCTCGGCATCCGACAACACAATAGAGTAAGTCCCATCGTCAGAACACTCACCCTCCTCGCCGGGGAGAGAGTTCCCAGATTCAGCATCCCCTTGGGAGCCAGGTCTTGTCCCGCGGCAGGAGGGAAAGGCAAGTTACTCCTCCCGCTTCGCAGAACGTGAACAGGTCGGAAGACACTTAGCCCGCTAGAGCTACTTCACCTCGGCCCTCGCATCATGAAGGTTCGCTTGCAGGGAACCGGTTCGGGGTTCTGGCCGCGAACTCCAGGCGAGGCCCCTCCGTTCACAGCAGCCAGCATCAGCAGTCCGAAGCACTCCGTGTCAGGACATTACCCGACCACACTGAGGTCAGCAGCACCTCGTAACGATAAGCCTTATCTCCTCCCCGCCCAGTTCGAGTGGGATTGATAAGTCCTATCTGTTATCCCCCATTAACGCGGAAACGGATCTCATCGTGACGAGGATCCTTGAACTGCTCCGCAAAACCCGCGAGGACTCCACTATATAAAGGCTCTACACCCGGAGGCCCATGGTATGTGTGATTTTCCTTCTCTCAAGCTCTCTACTTTCAAAAGTAATTTCAACTCACTACTAGCCTACTAAATTAAGCATCGGAGCGACGTCACCGGATTAGCATCCCCGAGTTTTCTAATATCCTTGCAGGTTCAATCCACCATCCGTCTGGAAGTCAGATCACCTCCCGTTGGGAGCAGCCAAATCATGCTACATCAGAGGTGTGAGGGGGTGTGAGGGATTCTTGAGAACCAAATTCTTGACTTCTGCTAGAAAACATTTTAAACTATGCAATGATTCAATCATAATTTGAGAGAAAAGTGGCAAGAGACAGAATAAAAAGGAAAAATATCCTTATCGGCTTATACTAAGAGCTATGAGCTAAGGTGCACTAAATCACATGCCAAGACATATGACTGGACCCACCACTAGCTCCAACAACAGTTTAGCAAAGATGTCCTGCATTTTAGAAAATGGACTCAAACTTATCCTACGGTTTGAAAAATCACTTATAAAGTACCTCTAATTTTTTTTTTGACAATTTACAAAATCCTCCCCTACGGCTAGTGCACTGTTACAATGTGTTCATATGTAATGTCACATTATTTGTATATATTTTCTTAATTCCAAAGTTACCCTTTTTACAATTGATTTTGACCTTCATTGTTCTTCACATTTTCAAAATAAAATCCAATGACAATTCGTCTTTTTTATCTTCCTTGTCTCTCCATTGCTTTAACCAATAGTGGGAAAGCTTTGAGTGCTTAGGAACTAATAATGATAACAAAGAGTGTCTTAAATCCTTTTACAATGGTTTGGCATCAAACATACTCCTAAAGACTTTAAAATCTCTACTCAAACAACATTTTGTTCCTAAATAGAAGTTGGAAAAAATAACCTTGGAAAAAAAAATAATAGAAACAAAAATTGTTGTGTCATCCTATTATAGTCAAACAATTTCTCTAGCACCTGCATTTTCAATATACCGATAGAATACCAATTTCCTTCTTCTTTTGTACTGCATCATCTTAGTAATTGTCATATTCGGTAGCTTCTAGACTTTCAATCCTCAAAAATCTCAAAAGAAAAAACAGAATTTTGTACTTCATAAAGAAATGTATCTTGGACTTCATAAAGAAATGTATCTTGTACTTCATAAAGAAATGTAATTGTCATATCCAAATAAATGCAAATTCAAATCAAATTCCAAAATGTATCTTGGACTTCATAAAGAAAAAACAGAATTTTGTACACACAATTCTGATCCTAATTGAGTGTTAAAAATCACTTGGAAGGTTGTGAACTTCAAAGTTATATTCAGTTGAGGTTATGCTTTTGAATAAATACACTTGGGCCCCGTTCGTTTTTCGGTAAGTTAATTATTTGGGTAAATACAATCATCTGGGTAAGTTTTTTCTAGGAAACACTTAACTAAGTAAGTGCATTTACCCATGTTCTTTTATTTCTCAGATAAATAAGACAATGACCATTTTAGTCATAGAAATCTATTATTAAAATKGGCATTTTTGTCCTATTCAAGTGTTGGCAACTTTCTGGGAAAGTTATTTACCCACCTAGGAGATGGGTATCACTTTCTTGAGTAAGTGATACACAGGAAAATAAACTTTCCCTGATCCCTACAAAAAGCTGAAAAAAGAAAATGAGATTCTTTGTCAATGGGAACCAAAACCCCATTGACCAACTTTCTCCCCTCTCTAAATCCAAAAAAAGAATGACCCCTTAGAGTTTGAGTATATATAGGAATTTGTTACAAATAAGATAAGTGATAAGAAAAACAGATTTGGATGAGAAATGGCATCCATGCATGAATTTGCAGCCTTTGGCCCTCTTTTAACCTCTATTAAAGCTTTCTACAATCATTTCCCTTTTTCTTCCTCATTTTTCTCAAGTCATTCATCACCTATTAGATAGACCCTTACCATTACCTTACTTCCCCATTTACATAAAGAATTCAATGGTGAAATAGTGAAAATAGTAAAAGAAAGGAGAGACTAAGAAGTTTTGGACATTAATAATAAAGTGAAAGAAGGTTTTAAATAAAAATATCGATATTATTTTCTTATCAAAAACAAACTACAATCATTCACCAGTTTCCTTAGGAATTCATCTTGATCTTTATTTATTTATTTTGATAAGTAGGCATTCGGCTTGATTGAGAGCCAAATGGGCGAGTATATGACTACAAATGAACTCATCCACCAACCTTTCTAGACGGAATAGTGTTGAGGTGATATTTGGCATTGATGTGATTTTTTCTTGCCAATTTTTAAAAAATCTATAAATTTTGTTATTTGGCATCATTTTGTGAATCTGTTTGGTGCTAGTTCTCAAGGGTTGATTATTTTGTATTAAAATTATTATTCAATGCCATGTCATCTTCAAAAAAATTCAAATAAGCTAAAAATAAAAAAATCACCAAAAAATAGTGATCTTTAAAAAAAGGCTGATTTCAATAGTTGATTTTTGGTCAATTTCCCAAAAATCATTAACGTGTTCGTTTCATCTTTTCTCTTATGTTTTAAGAGGAATTTTTTAATTTTAAAAGAAAAGAGAAAAATGGTTGTTCATTTCCTCTTACCTCTTATCTCTTAAAGTGCAATCATACAACTTTTTGTTTTCCAATGATACCCCCGAAAAGATAAAYAAAAACTCTAATATATGGGGTCAAAATGAATACTTGATAATTTTCAGAATTCATAATAACGTTCTCTACATTTAGAGTTCGAAGGAAAGAAAAGTGTACCAATACCGATATACCTTTTAATATAATTATTACACTTTCAAATGTTAGACTTTAGAGCAAACGAACAGACACAAAATTGGCCCAGCCAAACAGAAATTTAAACACCATTCCTTTGTGCTGTCATAAAATGATTTTTAAGAAATTATCATTCATGCCAAACATCACCCTAATTGTGGGAGCAAACGGCCACGTGGTGGGGCTTAACCCTTGACGCGTGTGATGACTGATAACGGGGCAAAGGTGAGGCTAAACGCCTTAACCCCTTTTAAAACTCCTACCTAAAATGAAAAGAAGGAAAAACCCTTTAAACCCTAATTTATACAAAGCAAGCAATCTTCGCTTCAAAGTTTGAAGTTTAAACACCAAGAAGAAAGGAAGAGCCCTAACTTCTCCCCACAGGCTTTCCCGAGCAAGAGCATGAGAAATCAATCGCGATTGCTCCTCCGTAGTTTCTCTCGTTCCCTAGTCCGTAGCTCGACGATCGAGACTCAGTGTTCCCAGGTTAGGAARCTCAATCCTCAAATAGCTCGTTATTTCTCTGGATATTCTCATCAAAATGTTTCTCCACTTGCCTTTTATTTGGAATCAAGAAACATTACAAGTCGTAGGCTTTCGTCTCAACCGGCTTTGGAGCAGAAGGATTCTGACCACATTCTGGTCGCCCAGATATTTTCCAAGGACTGCAGTTCTGATAAGATCAAGGATGAACTAGAGTCAAATAATATATCCATAAACCACGATCTGGTCTTGTCGGTCTTGCAGAATCTCGATGGGAGCCCGGAGATTGCTCGAAGGTTTTTTGATTGGGTTTCAGAGACTGAAAATGAGAAGCTCAGTTCGAAGATTTATAATTTGATGTTGCGGATATTGGGTAAGAAAGATTGCGTCAAAGAATTTTGGGCTTTGGTTGAGATTATGAAGAAGAAAGGGTATGGTATTTCTAAGAGCACGTATACTGAGGTTTCGCAGAATTTTGAGAAGGAAGAAATGACAGGAGATCTAGATAAGTTGAAGGAGGTGTTCACATCTAAGTCTGCGCCAGTGGAGAAGGTGTGTTCTCGGGTTTGCAACATTATTATTAGAGAAGAAGCGTGGAATGAAGATGTTGAAAAGAGATTGCGAGATTTGGATGTTAGTTTTTCTAGTGATTTAGTTGCTATGGTACTGAAAAATCTTAGCCCGTATCCGATGAAAGCATTGATGTTCTTTTGGTGGCTAGAAGAAGGTCCATATTTTAAACACAACCAACAGACTTACAATGCTATGATTAAGGTTTTGGGACGGGAAGATTGCATTGATAGATTCTGGGCTGTCCTCGATAAAATGAGGGACTCTGGATATGAACTGGAGATGGAGACGTATTTTAAGGTTTTGGGGCGCTTTTATAAGAGAAAGCTGATTAAGGAAGCTGTTGATTTGTATGAAGTGGCAATGGCTGGCGCATATAAGCCTCCAGTTCATGACTGTACTTTTCTTCTTCATAAAATCTTGGTGAGTAAAGATCTAGATATGGATCTGTTTTCTAGAGTTCTCAAGATTTTTACAGAGGGTGGGAATGTTTTGACTAAGTCTATCTTTGATGGAGTTGTCAAGTCTTTGACCAGTGTTGATAGATTGGGTGAATGCAAGAAAATCTTGAAAATCATGGAGAATAGTGGATTTGTAGTTAGTGATGCTGTGCAAAGTAAAATCATCTACAGGCTTAGTAGTTCTCGGAGATTGGATGAGGCTTATGAAATCATGGATGAGTTTGAAGCATCCGGAAAAAATCCAACTTTTGAAGCGTGGTCATCTTTAATCCATGGGTACTGTGCAGTTGGTGATGTAGACAAGGCATCTTCTTGTTTCCAAAAGATGGTGGAAAAGAAGGGTATTGCAGGTCCTGGTTATGTTTTTGAAGTATTAGTTAAAGGGTTATGTGACAACAGCAGAGCAGAGGATGCATCCAAGTTGCTATCTGAGATGGTTAGTGGAAAGCAGCTACGGCCTTTGCATACTACATACAAAATCTTAATTAAAAATTTATTGGAACGAGGGAGTCTTAAAGAAGCTTCGAGTCTTCTGGGGTTGATGAAGAATGATGGCTTTCCGCCATTCTTGGACCCTTATATCAGCTATATCTCCAAATCAGGGACAGGGGATGATGCCATTACATTTTTAAAAGCAATGACAACGAAGAGGTTCCCATCTACATCTGTGTTTATCCATGTTTTTGAAGCATTTTTCAGGGCTGGAAGGCATAATGAGGCACACAATTTTCTTGCTAAGTGCCCAGGCTACATCCGAAGCCATGCTGATGTTCTTGATCTGTTTTACTCTATGAAGAATGGAGAGGTTGCTGCTTCTACTGCTTTAGTTGTGTAGGCTTCACTCATCTCTTGTAGTATTTTGTGATATTCAAATAGGATGAGTCTTTGGGTTTTGGTATGCAATTCAGCCTCACTCCTTTAAATTTTTTAATCTGGAGCATGGTTAAAATTTTTTATTGCAAATAAAATTCATGCTTTCAAGACTTTCTCCAGTCTCCACCGGTTCAATGGTCCACGTCTCAAATAAGTGGGCAGGTCTGTTCTTCCATTTAATAGTATCTTCTATTCATTTCTTTTGTGTTCTTCAGGTGTTTAAAAAGACTCTGGAATGGAATATGGAATCTTTTTCAATAGCATTAGTATTTGTTTAGTTGGTCTTTGTTCTGTGATCTTATTAACTGAGGTTTCTGATATATAAAAGTACGAGTTTAGGTCACACTCAACTCAGGTTAGATCAAGTTATGATTGGTCATTGAGTTCTTGCTTCTTAAGTTTTGTCTTGGGTTGCTCCTTGGTTCATTCTCCAGTTGCATCCCTATGTGATACCTTCTTTATTCTGTGCATGGCATAAACTTTATGCTAAGACCAAATGTCACTAGACTTTGTGCTGACATTTAGATTCTAGACAAGGTTCGTTAAAGTTCAATGAAGAAAGTGAAGAAAACAAAGAGAGTTGCAAGAAGAGGTAGAGAGGTTCTTATTTAAGATCAGAGAAGATAAGCATTGGTGCCAAGCATCTTTATGGTTCAGTTGATTGGCTGTACTTTTCTCTTAATGGGATTTTTGGTTTCTTTGTGGGGTTTGATTTTTCTGTCTTTGGATGGATTAGTAATGTTTCATTTGAGTTTGTTGGTTGGAAGTGGAAATCTGCATAGGGTATTTTGGTTTTTGAATTTTTGTAYGAGTTTGGACGAAATTTAGCAATATCTCTTGGTTTGGAGAGTTTGTGTGTTGTGATTGTTTCTTTTGTTTACATGGGTTTCTTGGTTGGAGTTGTGATTGGGAGTAATGTTATTTATTTTTCTTTGTTTTCTTTTTCTCGCAGGTGACTTTGGGCCACCTTCATTGTAATTTTCTTTTTCCTTTTAATAAATTTTATTTTATCATAAAAAAAGCTTTTAGATGCTAGATGAGTTATTTATAGAGGACATTAAATAACGCAGGACTTAGACAAGTGCAGTAGACAGAGCTTCATGTGTTCTCCCTTGCTCATGCGATCATGCCCCATGGACATTCCCCAACTTCAGATTGAAAATCAAAGCTTTCAAAAATTCTTATAAGTTGTATTAATAAAAAATGCATAATTTGATAAAAAGACAAATATGGAGCTGATGCCGACTGAGGGTTTCACATCTGGACAATCCAGAGAGCCCCTACTTGAAGAAATGTTTTGGTTGACTATATGAGCTCTTGACATGGTTGAAATAGTTGTCAAGAGAAGCCAAATGACCCATTATGTATTACCTGTCTGTGAAATTGAGCGTTGGTATTTGAGAGGGTTTCTAATTTCCTTTTCCCTTGGGCTATGTTTGGTTTGAAGGAAAAAGTAGAGAAAAGAAAGGAAAGGTAGGAAAACCTTTACAAACCTTGTATATATTTCCTTACCTTTCCTTTCCTTTCCTTACCTTTTCCTTCAAACCAAACATGGCCTTATTGTCCCTTTAGTATCAGGGGATATCATAATTCCCTTATTTACTACCAAAAAAATTTATACCTTTTATGCAATTAATGATAGCTGCTATTTTTGCATTTTACTCTGTCCATCTGCTTTTCACTTTGTTCTCTAGGATGGTTTCTTCTCAGGAATTCAATTGTTTATGCAATTCTGGTGTTGTATGCAATTAAAATTTTGATCTTATTAACATTGAAATGATAACAGGTTCGACACTTCAAATTGCTAGCTTTATGGCCTGTTGTTTTGCACTCAAGTCTCAACATCTGAATGCCTTTGAAACTATAATTACGTGTAGATGTAGAGGTGCATTGGTCTTGGGGATTTTTTCTTGGTTTTGAAGTTTGAATGTAGAGATTGTTGCTCTGAAGTGCTGAGTTCTGAAAATGTTTGTAAATGGAATGCTAGGTCGAATTTGCATTGCATGATGGATCGCTTTCATTGATTATGTCTTGTAACTCTGGTATATTGTAATCAATAATGCAGCCACCAGCCAGGGACTACAGAGAAGCCTGTATTCTCCTTTCCAATGATTGAGACCCATGAATATTTCAGTGCACATATGTTTCTTCATTCACTGTAATGAAGTAACCTGATCCTGGTGATCCAAATTATGCTCTTGAAAAGATCCAATAAATAGCCACAAAATTGTCATCCCAAGAACTGTGGGCCACATCATAGATAAGGTTATACATGTAAAGTCAACTTCCACACCATTCGCCCAAAATTTTATCGATGAATTATAGTTGTAGAGGTGTTTAAACTTTAGGGTAAAAGACTTAAACCTCCCCTGATATTCACGCTAAATACTAAGACCTCCCTTTTTAAGTTGCATTAGCTGTCATACATGACGCAGTTAAAACGTCTAATATGCCCTTGTATATATCTCCCTTCTCTCATGTTACCTCAAGATAACCTGTTTTTCTCTTATTGTGCATTAACTGCCCTTTTTATCACAATAATGTTCAATATTGTTCTTCATATGATCCCTTTTCTTATTTATTTATTTATTTCTTTTGGGTTTTGTCTTTTGGTTTCCACTGGATCACCTCAAGAGGATTAATCTTCCTTCAGAAGATCTGTGCGTGAACTTATCCTAGCAATCAAAACACAAACAGACTTGCTCAAGGATAAATGTCATCTTCTCTGGTTTTGCCGGTGCTCCAAATGTTTTCGCAGAAATTTCTTGCATCAAATTACTGAATTAGCAGCCTCGACACTAAATCCCTGTTCTGAATTTTTGAAAGCTTATTGTTCAACCGTACTCTCTCTATTTCTACATGTATCTTCCCAGCAAACGGAATGGGAATCTTACGAACACAGACAAGCTATTTATTTACTGTTCGTTTTGATGTGTTCGCTGTTTCAATATCAGGAGTCTCATCAATATATTGCCGTCACATGTTGACAGAAGAACGATCTGGTCGTTGAGCATTTTACATTGTTGAGCTTGAAAGCAAAGTTCCAGGTTGTAAAAAACGCTTGCTTTGTTCTAGCAACATTTCCATCAACTCTCATCTGTTTCTCCACGTTCAATGAGACCCTATAGAGGTATCGCCATTACCTCTTCCTTCCATTGCTTCAGTCAAATTCAGACCAAAGAAAGTGAGATTTGGAGCTCAACTCGAATGAGCGATTTTAAGCTCCGCTAGAAAGGATTGGGTACCTTGATTATTTATCATTGTTTGCCTTCTTTCTAAAGGTCGATTACTCCAAAAATATATAAAAAAAAATCATGCTTTTGAGCTTTCTTTGTGGATTTTCTACCGAGTTTAGAATGTAAAGAGAATGGTTTTCAAAACCGGATCGGACCAGACGGTTGGACCGGAAAAACCAGGAACTGGTCACCTGATCGATTCTATTTTTCCCAAAAACCGGATTTCCTCCAAAACCATTGATTTTGGTTAGAGAACTGCTGAACCGGCCGGGCAGTTAACTGTTTGAATCATTCGAATGGTTTTGACCGTTTTTTATTTTTCTGTCAGAACGGGCCAAGTGTTCGGTTTAAACGATCGGACTGTTCGACCTCATAACCAGACCCCTGACCAATTCGATCACCGGGTCGGTTTTAAAGGGTTTTGGAGATAGTTACCGAGTTCTAAATCATCTCTGTGCTATCTGAATATTTTTGCTCTCGGGAGAACGAGTGGATGTTGGATTTTATTAGTTTTCCCTTGTTTGTAATGATTGTGTAATATATGAATTTAATGGAGTCTTGATATGTTTACTTTTGGCTTTAACTGAGTTTGTCTATATTCTATTTTTCTTATTTTCTTCATTTGTTTTCCATTGTCTCTTGCATTGGCAATACTACGAGTCTACAAACACCAATTCAGAAGAATGGCAAACGCTAACTAAAACATCATTTGTGAGGGGAGGTCTTTGTCCATTGAAATTAGGGGTAATATTGGATTTTTTATTAAATATTTAACGGCATATGAAGTAACATACAATTAGGGGTGGATTCTAGTCGAGCCRAATAGTACCAAGYTCGAGCTCAGTTCGAGCCAGAACCTTGGGCTCGAGCTTGGCTCGTTTCGAGCTCGATTTTGAAAAAAAATATTTTATAAAAATAAAAAATTATATATAAAAATATTTTTTATTTGATATTTAAAAATTAAGAATTATAATATTTTTATTATATATATATTATTTTATAATTTTATTATATATTACTATATATTATATATATTCAAGCCGGCTTGCGAGCCTCACGAGCCGAGTTCTAGTAGGCTCGAGCTCGGTTGAAACCGAGCCGAGCCGAGCTTTTCACGAGCCAAGCTTGAGCAGCTCGTGAAAAGCTCGGCTTATCGCCACCTCTAATACAACTAGATCTTAATGGATTTCTTATATAGGGGAGGTTTATGTCCAATGACATCACTTATAAGGGAGATCTTAGTCTATTTTGAAAAGAGAGGGGAGGTCTTAGTATTTTGCATGAATCTCAAGAGTGGTTTGAGTCTTTTACCCTAAACTTTAAAGACGGCCATTACTGGTAAGGTGCCAACTAGCTGGTTGGTAAGGTCTCCTGCTGATCGTAGTAGAGACTTGGGATGGAATCCTGCATGCACATGTGAACTAAGAAACATTATTACATTTTTCTGCTTGAAAAGCATTGGTTTTGCCAAAACTGAGGCTGTGTTTGGTTTGAAGGAAAAGGTAGGAAAACCTGTACAAAGTTTACATTAGATTTTCTTGGGATGAGCCATTGAGAAGCGTGGGAAACCTGTACAAACTATATACCTTTTCCTTCAAACCAAACACAGAAAAGACCCACAATTTGAATTTTAAGCCACTCGACAATTTGGTGCAAATGGCATGGTCCATTCATTTGCTGAATCAAAATTTCAAAGTTCAATCATCATCACAATAGCCATCAAATGTAAATGGAATTCCATCAATGATCCATGCCATCTTCCATAGTTGTCTCCTGTAATTGCTTCAAAAATAAACGAAATGAAATACAATGGAGAAAATAAAACATTTGTGGACCTGAGGTTCACATTTCATCCTAATTGAGTTCTTATTTAGCATTCTTAACAGAATCCTCATTACGAATTAAGCTGGTTTGGAGATTTTTGAATGAACACGATTGCTTATGGGCTCAGGTGTTAAAGTAACAAGTACATGAAATGAAATGGGATGATCAGTCCTTTTGGACGGTTAAAAAGAGGGGGAACGTTTCAGCCACTTGGTCAAGTATGTTAGTCTGTAGAGGTGATGCTTTAAACTTTAAAGGGTGCATTGTGGTTGGTAGATTCGGG